TAGAGATAATATATATATATATATATATATATATATATATATATATATATAACGCATCTATATCTCCATTCCCCTGACCTTTTTCTCCGAGGAATAAGGCATCACTACTGTGTGAATAATGCTCCTCAAATGCAAATGCACTTAATAACTTGCGTAAAACAAAACATCAGCATTTCTCCATTACTCATTTGAGAAATAGGTCCTCAATCTTTCCTCAAATACGTTTAGACGGATGCTCTCTTGTAATCCCTTTTCCACCGTTCGTTTCAATAAAACCATTATTCGAGCCTACTGCACTTCGGGGGGACATTCCCAAGTTGTAGTGCTCCTGAACGGAAAGCGAACCTAATCCGCTCTGGTTCGAACGTGTGGAAAATAAAGAGGCGCTCCAGGGTGTTAGTAATGGGGGGGGGGGCAAGGTTAACAAGGAACCATAATATCTACCTTCTTGAACTAAAACATAAGCCAGGAGGCACCGAAAGATACAATTATGTTCTCTTTCTAAGCCGTAGGTAGTTTTTCTGCGTTCTACAGAGCCATTGTAGGCGTAGATGGTAGTGAGCGCAGATTGTAGATAAACCCGGGGGGGGGGGGATTTGTATTGATCTAGCCAACCCATGTTCGCCTGGGAATTATCGACTTTCGCTCGAAATGGAGTAGTGTAAGAATTGCGCTTGGTTTTTACCGCGTGCGTATGGGCATCAGCCACAAGGCTAAGACTAGGCGACGGCCAGTGGGCGGCCGAACACGACAGCGTTTCGAAAGGAAGTATCTTTGAACGCTTTAGGATGGCAATTCGTGAGTTTAAAAAGCAGTCCGGGAGCAGGTTTAACGGTGCACACTGTATCTGCATAATAAGAACGGATTGCCGATCACAGCACCGTCAACCGGCGCTTGAATTTGCTGGTGAAACCGGACAAGACAAGGTGGAATCTCTACTTTTGCGTTGCTGTTGCTGTTTATCTGCTCACAGACGGCCTTAAAATCATACAGTGAAATATATCACCAACGTTAAGTTCTGAATGGCGCGAGTTAAGTTTTAAAGACTTCACAAAGCACGATTTCACGACGGCTGTTCTCGCGCGCCAGGCGTCCGTCCCGCGGTGTTGAGCTGCAGCGACCGACGCCGCTCGGCTTGATGGAATCTGTACAGCCGGCCATCGGTGTTCCCGCTCCTCAGATTGCGAGCACGCGGGCTCAAAAACTTAATTAATTGTTTCGCCGGTCAATCAGGAGTAAGAGTGGACGTCCTCGTTTGCAGTGGCCTTTTCCACTTTTGACCCTATGTCGACCCGTTTTGTTGAACACCAAAAAAACCTAATATTTTCCGGGTAATGGATCCCAACAACACAGGGGGGCATATTACACTTTTTCCGGTCAGAGCGCTACAGGACCATTCCGTTCAAGCGTGGTGTGCCTGCCGGCTGCCATGCTGGTGACACGGGGGTGCGGTCCCTGACCGATACGGAAGCCCTTGGGGAGATGGATCATGCATTGCTCGCCTGCCTAACACTGGAGGCCCCTTTACCCACACAGCTGGCACCCAATCCACGAATAGGCTCTCATTGGCGCAAACAGATCCCATGTCGCCGCAAGTGTCCAATGACTGGCACACAGAGCTCTGTTCGGCATTCTGTTTGGACCCCTTGCTGAAATGAGATGGACGGCTCCTCGTGCAGCACTCGGGTTCCTGACTGACACAGATCTTCCACTGCCTCACCGTACGCTCTCACATCGACTTCCATCGTCAGAGGTTCCCGACAAACGAAGGAGGCTCCTGACATTCGGGGTCCCTTCCCTGTCCCTGTTCAGCAAATGTTCCTCTGGCCGACTCGGGGCCCTTTACTGACGCAGGACTGTTAGGCACTGTAGGCCCCTGGCCGACACAGGGCCGTCATTCTTTTAAGGATCCCAACCAATTAAATCCCAGTACCCCATAACTGAATTAGTAAATTAGGTCATTAATTAGATAATAAATTAATTAAATAAGTAACTTCAATCCCAAGCCCAGTTCTGCGAGCCGGGGTCCTTCATGTTACCCACAGCCAGTCGACCGTGCCCTCCAATCAGGCATTTGATCGTCAGTTCCGAGGGACCTTTTGGCCCCTCTGGGGATCTCTCGAACATGGCCCGAGGCCGACCCTGGACCCTTTACCAATACGGGACCCTCGTTAGGTACTGTGCGTCCGTCACCGACACACAGGGCCCCTTATTGATTGAGGGGCTCGACTACCTCGGCGGGAGATGCTACCTCATTATCATTCCGTTTGGTGGCGACCGTCGAAACCCGGCTTCGGCAATCGACACAGAGTCCATGTCGTGTGACTTCGGACGCTGTTGGATGTACATGACTTCGGAAGTCAATAGTGTAAGATGATTTGCGTGACTATTAAAGGCTGCCACGGAAACCACGGCCGGTAACACTAAGGCGCGGCGTGCACTGCAACGCAACACTCCGTTGCGCATGTTCGACACGGCCAGTGTTCTCTTGGTGGTCGTTGTCGCACATTATTTCGTTACTGGCTCAGTCGGCTGGTGTTGATCGTCAGGCTTTCACAACTGTTCCATCGAGTATCCGCGTCGGAGTTGAGGCGGGCGCACTACAAGGGTTCTCCCGAACGCAGACGGTGAACAAATTGGTCACGCATTTGTTTTCATGTTCTGAAAGGACGCCGCGGAAACATAATGTGATCAGTCAACTGCCATCAGTCAACGTGCTGTTGCAAACCAGACGAGTCAACAAGACATCAATCGTGTAATTAAAAACGAAAACAGGATAATCAAGAAAGCACCGTACAAGCGCGGACTTTTAAAAGCGTGAATCGCTCAGTTGGCTGCTCTCGGTCGGACACGACATTGTAGTTTTCGCTTTCATTGTTCCCTAACCTTGCAATCTTCCTTAAAATTGATATAGATTTGAGCTCATATTTTGTATGTCTTGCAAGTACTTCGGCTCCAGAAGACTGGGAGGGGGCGAACCCACCGTTGGGGAGGAAGCGTATTGGACACTGGGGGGAGGGCAGTGGTCCACCCAAAAGAATAGTAATTGACACTCGTGGAGCACCCTGCAGTGCCTTTCTGGCAGATGGCGCTGCTTACTAACAGCGTGTGGCACACACAGGGTTGTTCGCTCTGGTCCAAGATGTGACGGCGGCAATTTGACTGCAACGCTCGCGCGGCCGTCGTGACGTCATTGACGCCTTGGCGGCCTGTGCGTCGCCGACCAACGCCCAGGGAGACGTTGCAAAATATCGCAAACTATCGATTAGTTGTAGTTCACCGAGGTCTCAAACTGATACGTGCTCTGTTCTCTATACATTGGATCCACAACAATATATCAACACCGTCAATCGCCAACACAGGGCGGGCAGCAGTGAATGCCTGTAGACCGGCCGACCGCCGTCCAGCGCACGCTGCATGCAATTGGTGCATTTGCACCACCTACATGCCCTGGTGCGTGACAGATCCGTAATGACGTCACGGCAGCCGCGCGCTGATTGGCTGACTTGACAGCAGATTTTCACCCTCTTCATCTCATGCTAAAGGAGTCGAGCACATCGCTCGGTACATATGGCGTACTGTGTTCTGTATCGTGTAAGTTTTACAACCCGTACACTAAGCTTACGATGGCCGAATTTATGCTTGCTTAGCCCACTGGACAGTCTCGTGCTTACCTACTCGTCTGCCCTCTGAGGAGCAGAGCCGCCTGACCTCGCATTCTGTCCCGGCTGCCAGTGTGTATGGTCGCGTAGAACCGCCCCGATGAAGAGTTCATAAACAACACAGCCTGAGCGCAGCGTTTCACTACACGTGATCTGCCCCAGGCGCGAGGACGTGATATTCTTTCCATCCGTTCCAGCGCGGCTCTAGCGCGGTGCCGACGCACGTGCCTTCCATCGGACCTGCACTGCCAACGCAGAAGTGCTGGCGTCCAGGCCGATTAGTCGCAATTGACCTCCTGACAGGCACAAGACCGGAGGTGCGAGTTTACGCGCTGGTATTGCTTCCGTCGTCGTCCTGGGCTTTACGTCGCACTCAACTGCGGCGGCTATATGACATCTCCTGCCCCTCACCCTGGCAGGACGGGTGGACACGGTGAATTATCGAGCCCCGTACCTCTGCTTTCCCAGACGCGCAGCTTAAGCACTGCGCTATCGGTACCGCGCTGGTGTATCTTTGCAAATGGCTTGAGGAGTCAGCTGATTAGGTTCACTACGCTGATGGTTGGGAGGTTCGTCGGTTAGCAATAACCGATGTCACTGCAGATACTCGAAACTTATGGCATGAACGACGCGCTATGTTGAATCCCACCGAAATGCTAATGAATATATATATATATATATATATATATATATATATATATATATATATATATATATATATATATATATTGGTGGGCTAATATATCAACTACCCATGGTGCCCCAGGTTCCCGGCTCTCACCGTTGTGCGTCGGAGGTAACGTCGGGTTCATTCTCGTCGCCTGAGGAGAGGAGGCGGCTCCTCTGCGTGGGCCTCGTCAGCGTCTGCTGCTCGTCCTCCGAGGAGAGGAGGCGGCTCCTCTGCGTGGGCCTCGTCAGCGTCTGCTGCTCGTCCTCCGATGAGAGGAGGCGGCTCCTCTGCGTGGGCCTCGTCAGCGTCTGCTGCTCGTCCTCCGAGGACGAGTCCACGTGCAAACTGCGGCTGAGCTCAGCCCCCGCTGGGTCGTCGTTCTCCTTCTCGGAGTCGGCTCCATCTGTGGAGAGGAGAGCAACACTGTGTATGAGCCCACCTGAGACATGCATTTCCAGTCACGACGTGCAGCGTGCCGCACGAGGCAGGGCTCCCCCCCTAAGACACACGCGTTACGGCTCATATTCCTAAGGGACTCGCCAAGCAGACATTGTCCTCGGATGCACACATCACACAGGACATCCCCCGAGACATACCAGCAGACAGGAGATCCTCTTCTGGGAGTCAAAGCAGACAGGACAGTCTGCTGATGTCAGCCGCTGACCAACACCACACGCTGACGATGAGCCGTCTCGATACGCGAAAGAAGCGCCACCTATACTAAAGTTTTGCTAACGCATGTTTCTGCATAAACATCGACAACGCTTTCACGAAGTAGTCCGGCTACGATGCCCTTATACGAAGATAACGCAAATAGGCAAATAGGCAAATATACCTCAATGGCGGCACCACAGAAAAGGACAAAGGCGGCGAAATAAATGAGGAAAAATGCTAATTTCAAACAAGACGACGATTTTGCACGCTCTCGTGTTTATGATCACATTTATGACAATATGGGTAGCAGTTGGATTGCTACCTTGCACGTCATACCAACGCATGCTGTTTTGTCAGCCGGCCAACAGCTGAGCGGTGGACCCAAGTGTCCATTAACAAAGTGTCACTGCGGCTGGCGGCCCGCTCCGACAGACACCCAGGACCGGTCAACTGACACAGGCCGGACGGGGTTTGTTGAGACAGGTTTGTCGGGACAGCTCAGGAACGGAGCGTGTCTCACGCAACTAGCGACGGAGCCGGGACTGCAGCCAGCGACGAAGGCGGGAATGCAGCCGGCGACGGAGCCCGGACTGCAGCCGGCAACGGAGCCGGGACTGCAGCCAGCGACGGAGCTGGGACTGCAGCCGGCGACGGAGCCGGGACTGCGGCTGGGGACGGAGCCGGGACTGCAGCCGGGACTGCAGCCGGGACTGCAGCCGGGACTGCAGCCGGGGACGGAGCCGGGACTGCAGCCGGGGACGGAGCCGGGACTGCAGCCAGCGACGGAGCTGGGACTGCAGCCGGCGACGGAGCCGGGACTGCGGCCGGGGACGGAGCCGGGACTGCAGCCGGGGACGGAGCCGGGACTGCAGCCGGGGACGGAGCCGGGACTGCAGCCGGCGACGGAGCCGGGACTGCGGCCGGGGACGGAGCCGGGACTGCAGCCGGCAACGGAGCCGGGACCGCAGCCAGCGACGGAGCCGGGACTGCAGCCGGCCAAGCCTGGGCTCTGGCGTCAACATACAGGCTCGGCCGGCAGCCGGCGAACGGGTCGCTCCGGTGACGCCGGCCGTCCCGGCCCAGCGCCGTCAGGCCGGCGCTGGGCCGACTCCGATTGGGATGCAGATCCAGTCGAGACGACGCACATCACCATCACGGCGACAGATGCCGCGGTCATATGAATGTACGGATTTCACCAGACGGAGAGAAAAACGGGCGACGCGAGAGGGACCGGTAGACGGGCACAGAATGGAGCGCGAGTGCTCTTCTTTGTGCCCATGTTCGGAGGAACGTCAACATCCCAGCTGAGTCCCGTGACTGGTCTTCGTTCAAACACAGCCGTATTAGCGGCTCAACCAAAGCCCCGGCTGACTAGCCGCTACTGAGGCGTCGCAGGAGCATTTGCTTTACTTTCATAACGCCCTGCATTTGGTTCCCTGCGATCTCCTGCCAAGCATGACGTCACACGCGGCCGAGCAGCCCCAGCGTGACGTCACATACGGCCAGAGGCTCAACTTGACGCCATGCAAGACCGAGCAGCCCAGCAGGACGTCACACACGGCCAGATTCTCAACTTGACGTCACGCAAGGCCGAGAAGAACCAGCGTGACGTCACATACGGCCAGAGGCTCAGCCTGACGCCACGCAGGGCCGAGCAGCCCAGTGTGACGTCACATACGGCCAGATCCTCAACTTGACGCCACGCAGGGCCGGGCAGCCCCGCGTGACGTCACCCCCAGTGACGTCACAAACGGCCAGAGGCTCAGCTTGATGTCACGCAAGGCCAGACAGGCCAAGTGTGACGTCATACACAGCCAGGGGCTAAGTTTGACGTCACACACACCCGGAGTCAGGGCGACGTCGACCCGGCCTGATGTTCCCAGCGCCGCCGGCAGCCTGCACGTACCGCGGGTGGGCGGCCCGTCGCCGGTCAGCCAGTCAGCCAGCAGACCGGCGTTTCTGTCGAGCACGTCCGTGGCGAGGGCGGCCGGCCATCTCCAGAACATCTCCTGCGCGACACGGGACGGGTGGGTCAGCGACGACAGCCACCGCGTCGCCGTACGCGCCGGACACTCTGCCCGCGCGATACGAGACGGTCCAGCCACGTACAGGAGGGGAGGATAGCAAGCGTGGAACAAAAACATTGGAAAAGTCTCATAGCCCAAGACAAGTACTGACCGTTACAAAATCATCCACAGACCGAATTGCTGACCATCACACAGACGTGCGCAGTGGTGTGCCTAACCCAGCGCGGCTGACCACTCTTGTCTCCAGTCCCTGACAGCGGTGCCATGCCGTCCAGTGTGACCCACTCTGCCCCGTTGTAGCCCGCCCCGTCTCGGGGCCTCTGACCACAGCGTAACCCATCCCGTCTCGGGACACCTGGCCTCCAGCGTAACCCATTCCGTTTCGGGACCCCTGACCCCGAGGGTATCCCGTCCCTCCTCGAGACGCCTGCCCCACTCCCCGTGAAACCTCCCGGTCTAGAAACCCATGGCCGTCCGCCCATCCCCAGTCTAATCCCCGCCTCCCAGTGTCACTCACGCCGTCCCCGGGCTGCTGGCCGCCGAGCAGCGTCACCAGCCGCCGCCCGTCGTCCGTCTCCAGGGCCTGGGCGCACGTCTCGGAGACGGGCACCAGCGCCACGGCCTCGTCGGGGTCAGCGCGGCGCAGCGCCACCGCCTCCTCCAGCGATTCCTGGAGCCAGGTCAGCACCTCGCGCGCCGCCTCGCCGTCTGCGGGGAAGTGAACAGGACAAGGATCAGTCAGCGCCTAAAATACCGCGCCAAGCATCACACAACTCCCTTCCACTGAATCCATGCACCAACATCTCCTTTCTTCCACCTGACGGTACGTACAGTCGTTCCCCACCCCTGACTGCAGATGTAGCCGCTTCTCTCTCCCTACCTGACTGCAGGCACAGCCGCTCCTCTCTCCCCTACCTGACTGCAGGTACAGCCGCTCCTCTCCCTCCCACCTGACTGCAGATGTAGCCGCTTCTCTCTCCCTACCTGACTGCAGGCACAGCCGCTCCTCCCTCCCTACCTGGCTGCATGTAGGCGCTGACAGCCGCCGCCAGCTGGGCGGGCGAGGCGGCGGGGGCGGCCTGACGGGGCCGGGTGGCCGTCGGCCGGCGTCGCTCCTTCCTGGCGCGCGCCGCCGGCGCCGCACGCCGGGACGGCACCGCGCGCTCCCCGTCCGAGCCGCTGTCACTGCCCCCGTCGCTGTCGCTGTCGCTGCCGCTGCCCCGCTGCACCCCATCTTCGTCCTCTGTCACGGGACAGTGCGGGTGAGAATCAGCTGCGTCCATTGGAGAAACGAATGGACAAACGCGGAGGTCATGGGTAATGAATAAAATACAGCCAGGACAGAGGTAATATTATTGATAGTCGGGAAGTATAACATGCAGTCAGAATGTAATCATGTGGATGGTCACATATTAGGTTTAGAGAACGTTAATTCGTGAACCACGTACGAGTTTCATGTATGCTTGTTTACCGCTTCTGGCGACGGCGCTCTCTTAAGTATTAATGTTCCCGGCATTTGGCCTCATCTACAGGCCACGCCCGTCCGCTGTTGATGATGAGCACCCTCAGCACACCACCCAACTGGGCGAAGCGGCACCACATGAAGGCGGGGTTCTGCCAGACCGGCCCGCCAGTATTCCTACCCCCCCCCCCCCCCCCTCCCCTTTCACATGCTGACCTGGGCCGGTCGGGTCCGTCGGGCGACGTCGCCCGCCCGCTCGCTTCTTGTACAGCTGCTTCTTGTCGGTGGCCAGGCCGAGCGCGAGCAGCTTGTCCCGGATCCGATTCTTGGGGCGACGCACGGTTAGGTGGTCGAAGATCATCGACAGCGGGTCTGCCGGTCATCCAGGCCGGCGCCGTCACGGCCGCGCACACGGACGCGACGTCACGGCGACACGACGCGGCGTCGGCGCGACACGCTGGACAGGCTGGCAGATGTGAGTTTCAGGCTGTCACGGGCGAGCCAGTCTGCCAACGGACCTTAAAACGCCAGGATCTTAAAACGTATTTCTGCACGTACTGAAGACGCGGCGGTTCTGAACATCAGCGCCGATTCCCTACTAGCCAACAGTGACCTGAATCAGAGCAATTGCCTCCAGTCCAGAACACCACAGCAAGCAAGCGCAGCGTACAACTAAACACCGCTGACGTCACCGCGAGCGAGAGCGAGAGCGTGAGTGTGAGCGTAAGCAGGTGGCACACGGGCAGCGACGACGCCAGTCCGCGGAGCGAGCAGCGCCAACATTGGGCGATCTCGGGACTCTACTCGGGGTCTTCAGCGTCTGCCGGCTACAGCTCACGCCAGGCCGCACTCACCGCCAATGGCGCTCGTCAGACAAGTCAGCACTTCGGGGAACCAGCATGGACATCTCACGGAGGTCACGAATGGGTCAGGGCGTTGATTAAACCGCCGCTCAAGAAATGGCGCGGCCACGATCACCGCCGCGGTTCTGGAAGGAGGGGACCGCCACTGCCGACGGTTCGGGCTGGGGAATGCACTCCACCGGACAGCGGGCGGGTTCGCAGCGACGGCTCCGAACCCACGCTCCAACTCACCGGCCGCGTCGCGGTACCGGCTCCACAGCTCGGTCAGCTCGGCCACCTCCTGCTCGGTCCACTCGCGCGGCGGTCCGGCGGGCGCCGAGCGGCCCTTCAGCTGGCGCGTGTCGCTGATCAGCCCCAGCGTCTTCAGCTTCTTGGCCACCTGGCGGCGCGTGCGCTCCCGGCAGATCAGCGTGTCCAGGATCCGGTCCAGCAGGTCCCGCTCTGTAACGGGAGGTCCTCGTCAGGTCACGGCAGGTCAGTGTTCCCAGGGCCCAGCAGGTTTTGCTCTGTAACGGAAGGTTCTCGCGTCGGGTCGCAATAATTCAGTACCTCCAGGATCCAGCAGGTCTCGCTCTGTCACGAGGGTGGGTCACGAGGGTGGGCGGGACAACAGATCGCTGACGTCATGGTTCCCTGGCGGTTACAAGCAGCATCAAATCATATGATAAAATTCGGCCGACAGGCCAGCGAGGGAAACATTGCATCACCACACGATCCTGGCTCAAGCGATACATGGCAAAAGACCATCACAGAATCCGCATGGTAGGAAGATGGAACTTGATGGGATGGGGCAGCTATGAGGGCGGTGTGGACGCTTGGCCATCGGCGAGCGTGAGCTGGCGCAGTTACCCGGGTCGTTGGTCTCCACTGCTCTGAGCTCCTCGTAGACTCGGGCCAGCTCATCTTCCTCTTCCTCCGACCAGGACACCTTGGATGCCTTTGATCTGAAAAGGATCGCGGCCCAACAGTTACAACAAATACGTGGGTATTGCCCTGGAGGCGGTTAAATCACAACCACCCCATCAGCCAACTCGTTGCCAAACCCAACGCGAAAAGCCAGCCACGGTCTCCAGCCTGAAACTTGAAGGAAGTCATTCCCGGCGAGTCGTCCCGGTCCACCTGCGGCGCGCCTCCGCAGACGTGGGTCTGTGCGGCACCGTCCCTGGCGGCCGGGCGGACCACTCGGCGTTCGAGGTACGCCGGGGCCGGCCGGGCGGCGGCGCGGGCGGCAGACGATGGCCGACACTCCACACGAGTGCCTGCCAATATTCGCCGCCGATGGGCCCCGAGAGTGGCCGCGCTCGGACCTCGGACGCCGCCGGCCGCTGTGGCACGCTAACACCACCCGAGGTCTCCCACGTGAGAGCGCCAGCTACAAACAAACACTGGCCAGAGGGAGCCGGTTACGCAGCATACACGGCGCAGGGAGCTATGGTTCCTGGAGTAAAACGCCACGCCCATCTATCACAGAGCGTTACCCCACGGACGTAAAACATTAAAATCATACAGCAAGAGCCGCCAGGACCTCGGTACCACACATCACAGAATGGGTGCCGGGCCGCGCCAACATAACCCACAGCTCCCAAGCAGCATCAATCAGCTCACGGAAGTACGCATGTGCACGAAACAAGCGCGGGTTAAACCGAACAGGCCAGCCAGCACCTGTGCGAGAGGCTCGTCGGCTCCGTATAAAAGCGGCACGTCACAGACCCGCCTCCGACCGCCATCGACGGTTTTAGCGCGCTCAATCGAATGACGCCGCCGGCCGATTCTCTTAAGCCGAAATCCAATCGAGCTGGCGCGAGTCCCGTGCAATAATCGCCTTAGGATTTCCGGGTCGGGATAAACACGTGCCCAGGGCCGCGCGGAGCGGCTCCGTAGCCGACGGTGGTCGGCGGGCGGGCTGGGCCGACCACCGCTGGGGTGTGGTGGGCGTTGGTGGCCGGCGGGCGGGCTGGGCCGACCACTGCTGGTGTGTGGTGGGCGTTGGTGGCCGGCGGGCGGGCTGGGCCGACCACCGCTGGTGTGTGGTGGGCGTTGGTGGCCGGCGGGCGGGCTGGGCCGACCACCGCTGGTGTGTGGTGGGCGTTGGTGGCCGGCGGGCGGGCTGGGCCGACCACCGCTGGTGTGTGGTGGGCGTTGGTGGCCGGCGGGCGGGCGGGGCCGACCACTGCTGGTGTGTGGTGGGCGTTGGTGGCCGGCGGGCGGGCGGGGCCGACCACTGCTGGTGTGTGGTGGGCGTTGGTGGCCGGCGGGCGGGCGGGGCCGACCACTGCTGGTGTGTGGTGGGCGTTGGTGGCCGGCGGGCGGGCGGGGCCGACCACTGCTGGTGTGTGGTGGGCGTTGGTGGCCGGCGGGCGGGCGGGGCCGACCACTGCTGGTGTGTGGTGGGCGTTGGTGGCCGGCGGGCGGGCCGGGCTGGGCTGACCACGGACAATTCGTAACGAGCTGACTATGCCAGATGTGACATTCGTAAGACACCAATTATTGCCCTTAACAGGTATAGCCTGCGGCCGGTGGCAGCGGCTGCGCTAAAGGTCAGGTGACGCCGGAGATCAGGACGGACCGTGCCGAATGTTGTGGCAAGTTTAACTTCCAAGATCAAATCCTGCAGGTGACCTGGAATTGCATGATGAGTTAGTAAGGTTCAGAGCTCACACAACAAGCGCTGTTTGGCGTGGGTTCTAATCCCATAGGTTCATCCATTGATAAGTTTCGTTTTAAACCTTTTCACGAATATATGAACCCCTAATGCAGTTTGAGTGCGCCCAGATAAAATACGGCACAGCAACTTATAGTCATGAATAACGGTAGTAAAATCAGCAGTTGATACAACTTGAAGTACTGCAAGCGACTAGAAGACTGCATGCTGATGGAGGCATTCAGAGCTTGTACGATCGGACGACCCATGCCACACGCAGTGCGCGGGAAGTAGTACATTCGACTCCATTTAGCTTGGAATGAGCAGACATATGCCACTCAGTACTAGCGGACGCACACGGGACCACATCAACAATCAACGGGGAACCCTCCGGGCGGAGCACCTCCGCCGATGAGACAGACTTGTGCAGGTGAGGGGCAGTCGGCCAACACTGGCGGATCAACGGACCACCGAGGCGTCTATGGCCATGCCTCGCCGACAACAGATGGCCGACGGACTGAGTCCGCCAGGCACACGCCCCACCCACGCCCTTCAAGTGGCGCGCGGTCATGCCAGCGCGCCCGAGTTCCGGGAGGCCGGTGCCAGGTCTGCATCTGCCACTGAGCGGGGCTCACGGGGCGCGGGTGACGGTGGCGCGCTCGACGAGCCAGCGACAGCAGCCGACCGCCCACCGCAGAACACAGGCGGTGGAATGCTTCTGGCAACGTCGGGCCCGCGATGAGGGTCACACCTACACAATGAACAGTGCCCTCTAGGAACGGTCACTGGAAACGCACGCACAAACTCACGTGGAATGGCGGCGTTACAAGAGTGGTCTGGAATGAGCCCAAGGACGACGGAGTGTGCTTATTGACCATGAAAACTAGGACTACGCGCATGGCCCCAAGGCGAAGATCATAAAGGACAGACGTGCGACCCACCCAGAGGAGATTGCAGCGGACACTCACGTTTCCTGGTACGTGTCGTAGCCATGCTCCACCTCATAGGCTTCGCGAGGTGACTTCCAGAACAGAATCTCCATAAACACCTTCTTGTTGGTCGCGGCAACAGCGAAGAACTTCCGGAGAACGAACTTGGCAAAGCGGATCAGTTCCTGAAAAGTCCCGTTTTACAATTCAAATTAGGGCCTAGGTCTAGCAGATTGCGCATTTCTTCCTGGGGATGCGCTAGTTGTTGTCTCAGCAAGAGCAGAGAAAACGACAAACGGTAAGGCACAATCCCCCGTGAATCCTGAACACTTTCACAGCGCAGCCCAGACGTCAATGAACGCACGGACAAAACACATGCAATTTGCACCAACATGCCGCCGCATTCCCGGAAGCACCGGGGCCCGCCAAGCTCCTCCGTCCCAGGAGCCGATCGAGAACAGTACACAGCCGGTCATATCCGTGGTAGTGGGCGACGCTTCCCGTGCTGGCGCGGCACGGCTGGCGGACCCGAGCGGAGAGTGGGCCCATGCGGCGGACGACGGAGCCGGCGGCGCACGGGCCGCTCGTGATCCGCCGCCCGACCCGGCCGGCCGACGCCAGGTCTGTCCACAACGGCGAGGACGGGAGAGAAACGAGTCGCTCGTGATCCGCCGCCCGGCCCGGCCGGCCGACAACGCCAGGTCTGTCCACAACGGCGAGGACGGGAGAGATGGGTCACAAACGCCGGTGTAATGGCATGCCCTGAGGCGTGGCGTGGCCATGTGGTGCGCTGGGCATGTAGTGAACGCATCAAGAGATTGAACTTAAAGAAAATATTTCTTATGTCATGACCCTGGAACGAGAAAATAAATGAGACCTGCACGATCGGCATTTGGCCCAAAAACGAGGCAGAACGGTTGCAGTCGTCGTCTGTTCGGTGTGGGAGAGGGAGGGAGAGATTCGGCTCGCCACACTATAGCGCTTCTGCGTGGGTGCCGCATCGCTAAAATGAACGTACGCCCGCCGGGGTAATAATTAAAAATTGAGGACAGAATTACCAAATCGCGGCGTTGGTGGTAGAGCAGCTGGCACGAACACAAAATAGAATCAGAAGTCACGAACGTATATGTATGCAACAAACAAAACTACAAAAAATGTCGCTGGGTCCTTTACTATCTAACTCACCACAAATCCCCTTGGCATATTAACCCCGACTCCCCCGGCATTATTCTGCGCTGCTGGGTCAGTGCCTCTGGAAATACACTAGACGCTTCCACTCCCGCTGGTTGAGTCCAGCCGACGCCAAAACGACCGGCACCGGACCAACATCAGCAAGCATGACGGCACCAGCCAGCCAGCGAGCCGTCCCCTGCCCGCGGGTAGGAGGTCGGCCGGCGCGCCGCCGACAGCCGACCAGCGAGCCGCCCCCTGCCCGCGGGTAGGAGGTCGGCCGGCACGCCGCCGACAGCCGACCAGCGAGCCGCCCCCTGCCCGCGGGTAGGGGGTCAGCCGGCACGCCGCCGGCAGCCGACCAGCGAGCCGCCCCCTGCCCGCGGGTAGGAGGTCGGCCGGCGCGCCGCCGGCAGCCGGCCAGCGAGCCGCCCCTGCCCGCGGGTAGGAGGTCGGCCGGCGCGCCGCCGACAGCCGACCAGCGAGCCGCCCCCTGCCCGCGGGTAGGAGGTCGGCCGGCGCGCCGCCGACATCCGGCCAGCGAGCCGCCCCCTGCCCGCGGGTAGGAGGCCGGCCGGCGCGCCGCCGACAGCCGGCCAGCGAGCCGCCCCCTGCCCGCGGGTAGGAGGTCGGCCGGCGCGCCGCCGACAGCCGACCAGCGAGCCGCCCCTGCCCGCGGGTAGGAGGTCGGCCGGCGCGCCGCCGACAGCCGGCCAGAGAGCCGCCCCTGCCCACGGGTAGGAGGTCGGCCGGCGCGCTGCCGACAGCCGACCAGCGCCGGCCCGCCCGATCGACGGGCGGAAAACACCGGCCGTATTGGTCAGCAGACGAGCCGCATCGGACGATGGCGTGATCACCCAACTTCGCTCGTTAGTTGGTTTCAATTTCTTGTTGGAACAAACAGCAGAAATAATTCACGTCTGGTGTGCCGGACGGGCGCCGGGTCGGTCAAACTTCGCCGATCGTTTGCGGCCGGGCCGGACCGGGCCGGTGCACAGAGGCGGCGCGGCGGTCCGACCGCCACAGACCCCCGGTGGACACCAGCACGGGTGGCCGACACCAGACCAACGGTGCCCGCTGGATTTAAAGGAATTAGTTCAGAGGCACTGGATTTTCCCAATTCGCATCAATGCCGAGCTCCATTCGCAGGCGATAACAATCGATCGCACCCATCGACCCAAACAAGCATTCTCTGTCCACAAAAGTAAATATACCCTACTTTGGTTTTGAGTAGTGGACCCTCACGAACGCATTGCAAAGATGACAGCTCGCTCTACCCGCATCCGAAAATAATAGCCTTCTTACAACTTGCTCTATCCTCTGAACGTGAATTCCGACCCAGAGAAGATCTAAACAAGGTCAAAGTCCCACGAAGAAGTCAGACACAACCAACCATTGCCAATCAGGGACGAACGCCTGCGACTTGCGAACTGGCATTGCCACGTCAAAAGTCGTCATGTTGAGGTTTAATTTGGAAAAGACGGCCGTCATGGCCAGCCACCAATCAGCAACGTGTCAGCTGACCTTCCCTTCTCTCGGGTCGCCCGTTCTCCTCGCACAGGTCAGGGGTCATCTCACCGAGCGCATGTCGACCTCCTCACACCATCCCCTCGGGCGGGTCGCCCACCCTCTCCGCACGGGTCAGGGGTCACCTCACCCAGCGCGTGCCGACCTCCCTACACCATCGTCTCGGGCCGCCCGCCCTCCCCGCAAAGGTCACGGGTCACCTCACCCAGCGCGTACTAACCTCCCCGCACCATCCTCTCGGGCCGCCCTTCCTCCCCGCACAAATCAGAGGTTACCTCACCCAGCACGTGTCGGCCTCCCCACACCATCGCTCGGGCAGCCCACCCTCCCCGCAAAGGTCAGGGGTCACCTCACCCAGCGCGTGCTAACCTCCCTACACCATCCTTCCGGGCCGCCCGCCCTCCCCGCACAGGTCAGGGGTCACCTCACCCAGCGCGTGCCAACATCCTCGCATCCTGCACTTTCCTGGACGTACGTCCCCCCCCCCCTTCCCCCCATCGCCAGGATCCCGACCTCCGCCGCGCCTGGCGGCTTCTGCCGGGGCGGCGGCACGAGCCCGAGGTCTGATTAATGCGCCAGCGCCCGCCGGTCACCTTCAATGCAGGGTTTCGGCTGTGGCGCACGTCATCCATCATCCGCTGGAACGTTCTGAATAGGCTGGCCTGCAATAAAACCGGGGCGTTCATTAGAGCTCGATCAAATGGGCTGGCCGCGTCTCTAAGGTGGCTCGGCCGCCGACGCGGAGCTGAGCGGACTCCGCGATAAAGCGAGAGCCCGCCACGCCCTGCTCGTGGTCACGGCAGGCGCCGCCGAGCGCGCCTGGGACCGGCGGTCCATGTACGGGCGCGAGGCAGAGGCGCGCGCGCACGGAACTGACACTGGGCACGACTACAGTCGAGGAAGCCCTAGCGACGTATATGGAGGAAGGGCCGACTTTTGCACAGCAGATACGCGACAACGGACTGCACGGCGTCCGGTATTCGGCCGCCCTGACAGCGACGCTTCAGCGTACGGCTGCTGGCCCCACACGAGCGGCCTGAGACACATCCGTCTGGCTGTCCTGACAGCCACGCTCTAGCACATGGCTGTTGGCCACACGCGAGCGGCCTGCGATACATCCGTCTGGCTGCCCCGACAGCGACGCTTCAGCGGCCTGCGACACATCCGTCTGGCTGCCCTGACAGCGACGCTTCAGCACATTGCTGTTGGCCACACGCGAGCGGCCTGAGACAAATCCGTCTGGCTGCCCTGACAGCCACGCTCCAGCACATGACTGTTGGCCACACGCGAGCGGCCTGAGACACATCCGTCTGGCTGCCCTGACAGCCACGCTCCAGCACATGACTGTTGGCCACACGCGAGCGGCCTGCGACACATCCGCCCAGCCGTCACGACGTAGAGCGCTGTTGCCGCGGGCTCACCTGGAAGAGCATGGCCGACATATGGTGGTCCCACGCCACGCGGTGCAGCATCTTGAGAACGCAGTGATTGGCCTCCGGTGTGTTGGTGTCGAAGTAGCGCAGCAGCCAGCAGTAGGGCTCCAGCACCTTCGCCGTCATGAACCTGACGACACGAGGAAATCCGGCGGTAATGTGATCTGTCAACACGCGCCCGGGTGGCTGGCTGGATACGCTTCGCTCGAGCGGGGGTCAATTTGACCCCCGAGATCTTGGGAACTAAGAAGGCTAGAGATACCAAACCTACAGGTTGTGCTGACCTGTACGTGAACTCACCTACGTCAAAGTTTCAAGTTCCTAGGTCACAACCTTTGGGTTAAATGGGATCGAACAAAGTTAGTTACAGGTTGGTCTCCAGAGTGCCCCCAGAACCTCGATAACCGTTTCTAAGCAAAAGGTCGCACGCTCATTTACGGTCGCAACCTCGTTTGACCTTTTGAAGGTCATGGTGACCAAAATCATACAGCACTGCTCGAGTTTTGTATTTGAATAAGCGGGACAAATTACGCTAGGCAGTATGTTCTTAAAAAACAAAATGTTGACCCGGGTCATTTTAGGGCAATGACCTATTCTGACCTCTAGGAAGTCCATGGAAGATGTATAATGCGGTCCCTGTAATCAATAAATTGTAAATGAGCGCCAGAAACCATCCATACAGCAAGCCCTGGAGTAATAAAACAGATTGTTCTTGACCTTGGTCTGACATTCATACCTGACCTTAGGTCAAATTAATTTACTTATTCAACTGTTATGTTGCCTAAGAAAGCATCTCAGAGATGTCTGGCTTCGTGTAACACTCCGCTAGTGCATCAGATCGAACGATTCCATAGAAATTGCCTTCGCTGAAACCATGGCCTGACTTTGACCAGCCATAGGTCAGCGACCTTACAAAGTGCATCTAAATTTTTGATGCCAAACGACCCGCCATTCAATTGTCTACAGCTTTGCAAAATTTGGCGCGGCTGGGCCGCGCCGTTCAGAAACCATTCTGGTAAAAAACCTTCGGGGGGGGGGGGGTAATTTAATCCTCCCACGCGAGTGCGTATTAATGTTTGGCACACGGTAGCTGTGGTAGCAATGTGTTAAGGCCCAGGGTTGGGAGCGATACGCTGTACCCCCCCCCCCCCCCCCCCTCTACCCTCCTCCTCCTCGGGCTGGCGTTGCGAACATGATGAAATCCTGCACTCTACTCCTAATGGTGACGTACAAAGTTTACTTTATTCAGCCACTCCGCATGGGTCCGCTGACTGGATAAGGCTAGATTCGCTTTCCCGCGGCCTAACTTACAAAAGGACGTCAACGAGGACCAGACAGCAGAACAATCAGAGCATGAGAGTGAAAAGCATCCTCGTGGCTAGCCTACGCCAGCAGGCGGTATATTCTTCGATCGTCGATTGGAACAGATCATCGAAACCACGCTTGCTTGCTTTTGAACGATTCCTGACAGCAGATACAGATAATAGTGTTGCATGTCCCGAGGTAGCCCTTGCAGTACTTGGTCGCCACAACACGGTTGGCGCAGGCGAATGAGACGGCATGGTGCTTGGTGCCAGTCACACAGCATAACGCCTGTTCTTTCATAACACCGTTGTGCGGTGAAATCGGCCCGGAACACGTTTCTTATGTGCACGCTGTGGAAAGATGATGGTGGTTAGGGTTTTAGGGCGCGCCACCTACGCTGGTTATTTTGCGTCCCATGTGTTGAATAAAATCCGCTGGGGACGAACAGCATATTCGAGAACACAGACATTTTGTCGTTCTCGGTGCCTTTCACTCACTTTTATGGTGGACTCGGGTTTAGCTTACGGGCAGAACAGGAATACAAAGCTCCAGACAAAGCTGAAGGATAAAGAAGGCGCTTCAGACGACAGCGCTCCTTATGCACTTCATAATAATTTCGAAGATGAAAGAAGTTTCCGTCATCTAACGAAGTCGTTTTCTTTATTCATACATCTACCGCAAGAGTTGAATAAGACAGTGGAGTGTTTGTCGAAGCGCTGATGATATGCTCGCAGGCGACTCCGTAGTGGTGCACAGTGCGCGTGCGCAACCGGGAGACCGGCACTTTGTGAGTGTTCTACAGGGCAGACAGGATCCCTGACACGGTCGAGTGGTCTGCTCGCCGGGGTGCGGTCAAGATTTCGCGAGCGCCCCACAGGACGGACAGGATCCCTGACGCGGCCGGCTGGACTGCACACCGAGGTGCAGTCAGGACTTAACGAGCGCCCCACAGGACGGACGGGATCCCTGATGCGGTCGGCTGGACTGCACACCTGGGGGTCCACAGTTGGCACCCTGGATCAAAGCATCAGCGGGTGCGGCAAACAGCTGGCCCTCCCGGGCATCCGGTGCTTTTCTCAGGCCAGATAGCCGTGAACCATGGTATGACAGGCAAGGCCATCAGAAGACGGTGAAGCAATCACCGGAACGCCTTCTGGCGAGGCGCACTTAACCAATTAAGCGTCCCACCAGACTTAATTAAGAACTCTGACAGCTCATTTTAGACGCATTAGGTGGAACAAGAAGCTTTTTCGTGCCGTTAACATGGGACTCGCACTAACATCGTGTTCTTTCTGTTGCGATTGCCGTGGCAGAGCGTAACATACATTTACCGTGTCGTGCGAACAACATCTATCCGCGCCACCACTAAACCACCAACATCCAGCGCCTCATGAAACACCATGTGGCGCGGTACACCTCCTCCGTGACATACGCCGGATGCCACTTACAACCCGCGGTGCCGAGACCAGCTGACGCGACGTGACAGAGTCCTTACAGAGTACCCGCACTTCGTATTACCGCGCCGTGTGGGCGTGTGATGCATGGCGGCAACATCAATCCCATGACAGGGGGGGGGGGGGAGCTGATAGTGAGCTATACCAAAGGACCCCATATCTGTAGAAATGCGTGGTATTGCTTATATCTTGTCAAAGTTGTTTTCATACAAAGCTTTCTTTTCCAAAGATTTTCTTGATGCAATGGGGCATTTGAGCAGTGATCCACGGGCACACAAAGGTCAAGCCTCAAGGCAGGGGCATGCGTACGTGGCATCCGCCGTATGACCGCAAACGGAACCGCTAACCTGGGAAGTTTATATCAAACTGCACACACATATCATCATATACCAGTGCACGGATTTAAATACTACCGGACGTTGCCAACCATACGGTCCCGGATGTTTTTTTTTTAGGGAAACGCATGTTTTTATGTTCTTGAACGGTCGTCAATGGCCCTTTTATGGAGCGCCAGCGGCGGTAATGGCCATATTAGCGATCAGAGCACATTCCGCGACTGGTATTTGAACCAGGATCCGCACGTGGGAACCAAAGGCGCGGACCGTTCGGTCAGTACGTCCCTCAAGCCGTACACATACGCATACATACGCGCAGACAAATTGGCATACTAAGTTCGTTTTCCATAATTTATTTTCTTAAGTTCGTAAACCCAAGCGCAAAGAGCAGTCGTCGGTGCGTTTTCTGATGCCCTAAGATGGTGCAGCGTTTGTTTAGTGAGGCATGACAAATATTACAAGGGAATTAAGATGACCTCCTTACAATAATCATATCCGTGATGTTCGTTAGGTAAGTTGTATCTTTGATAAAAAACACGACTTACTTTAACGTTAAGCATTACCATTTCTGAACTTACTCGAGAGCGTGGCATTGCAGCTTCCTTTGAAAAAGAAAGTTTTTGATGAAAGGACTTTTGACAAAATGTGAACAATGTCATGCACTTCTACAGAAATACTTCAACGTTACGTACTTCCTTAATTACCTTAAGTGGCATTCTTTATCAAAAATACAACTGACCTAACGAAATTATTGTAAGGTCATCTTAATTTCCTTTTAATGTTTTCTCGTGTCAGTAGATTGTTATTATGACCATCAGTATCTAAAATGTTGAGTTTACATAGGTTTCAGTTACGTTCCACAACATATCTTTAGCCAACTATATCTCAAAACCAATTGCTTGCAGGCAATATCGTAGTATAAATGCAATCATAATGCATCTATATGACACCTAAACCGCCACAAAACTCTGAACGTGATTTCATGCGACGGAGATTAACGCGTTTAAAAAGGTGTACGGTAAGTCGTATTCCTCTAGTATTTTCCTCTGGCCCCAGTCCTGCATTTCAGTGTGTTTCTGGAACACGGAACCCCGAGATAAGCAGCCTCTCTGGCCAGTTCTATAAGACCTTAAAAGTCTGCCGTAAATATGCTCGCATCTTGATTATTTACCAACTCGATTGCACGTGGCCTTTACAAACGATGACCACACGGATAGCTAAAAATGCTACGACGTTGTTTTCAATTATGGCATTTTGACGAAGAAACGCTGTAGCGGAATGGCTCTTTTGTTCAATTTGAGACATCTTTAGTATGCGATCGGACCAACTCATCACAATTCAACGTCGGCAGCGCCAACCAACTGGTCCGCTGGAGGCAAGTTCAAAAGCAACTTCCACAATCCAATGACTTTCGAAACTCGACAGTCGCAGCGAATGAACATAACCCTCGCTACTGCGGACAGACACGAGCATGGCCCACGGGCAGAGCAGGTGTGGGCAGCCACGGTGAGTGACTGGCCCGACCTCCCCAGCGCGGCGGCGCGCCACGCGCCGAGCCCTGCCCTGCCACGACCCGGTTCGATCTCCCAGCCGCGAATTAATGCCGCCGGCCGGGAAATTTACGCCCGACGCGGCGCCCGCCGCGGGCCGGGCCCAGCGGCGCCCCGCCCCCTCCCCCGCGGCCGCGGGGCCCACTCCAGGGAGGACGCGTGACAAAAATACCCGGCCGCGCCGCCCGGCAAAATAGCTTCGGACGGTCACGTCGGATGGTTTAGACGCCCCGGCGGCTGGCGAGCGTTTGTAACGGGAAAACAGGACGACCGCGGCGGCCGTGCCGTCCGCTTTTGCTCTCACGTTCGAGTCTCACAAACGGCCAATTACGCCGCAAAAACATGTCTCTATTAATCCTGTGCATTCAAAGCGCGACGCTTCGGACAGGAGAAAAATTGCCCATAGTGTAACACCAGAAAAATACAGTTATACGGAAGGACGCTCCTCTATACCGAACGGAACGGAGGCTGTTTCGTGGTCCTCTT